AGTAGTGAGGCCACTAGTCATTTCAGGGCATTTCTTCCATGGTGACAGACTCAGGCACTCCTCTTATCTTCAGGTTATCTTCAGGTTATTACGTCTGGAATGGTCCTTCAGCGTAGCAAGGTGCGTAGAGAATGCTTGTTGTGTTTTTTGGACATTTTGCAGGGAGTCCTTCACATTGGTCACTTCCCACCTCACATCTATGATGTACTCTTCAGTGGCTCTCACCCTGTCTGTAACCACCTGTAAGTCAGCCTGGATGACTGATATGTCCATGGCTAGCGTTTGGCAGAATTCATTTAAGAGATTTTTAATATCTTGCTTGGTGGCCAGAGCTGATATATAGGGGAAGCCTGCAGCGGTTTGCTCTGGTGCTTGTGGCAGGTTGTGAGCTTGAGGGCAGTCTGGTGTGTGGGTCTGAGAGTATGCAGAGGCCTCCTGGTTCTCTGGTATCGCCATTTTGGGCAGGGCCTGGCGTTGCATCAGAGCCCCAATGTCTTGGGATTCACTTGGTGTACCTGGCGGAGGTTTCTGTGAGCGTCTCCCGATGGTTGAGGGACGATCAGCAGTTAGGTTATTTTCTGCGATCCAGTCCAAATTGCGCTGTAAGGGGAAGTACCCCAGTAGGTCTTCAAGGCATGTAGGGAGATGGTAGGCCGCAGGCTTTTTTTGTCACCGGCTCTGTCCGAAATTAGGAAAGAACGGCATGTGCATCGGGAGTCGCTGGAGTGTTGATGCTTGTGTGGATGTCATTGGATGGGTTGTGTATCTTAAGATAATTGTCAGATTGTACAGAGCGCCGTCGGAGCTGCTGAAAAGGCGTCTGCTTCGTTCCGTGCTTAAGCCCCAATGTTTTCTAAATATAATTAGTTTTAAATATATATTGTTTTTTCTGCATTATATTCTCTTTTAATTACTATATATAATATTATTATATTACCATTTTATAAATTCCAATTTCTGTATTCATACATATAGATGGCGATTTATTGTATAAATCAATATGTATAAGTGGTAATTGACTGTCAATACATACTTCGCCATTATTTATTTAAAGACTTAATAGATGCCATCTACATAGTCTTTAACTATAGATTCACTTATTCTGGCATCTTTATACATATACTGGACTATTGCCCTTGCCTAAAATGGCGTCTGGACAACTTTCACATACGTCACTTCCTAGTAAAGTACAACAACCTCTCAACCCAGGAACTGGAACATTTAAAAAGCCGTCCTTGCACTAAACGATACCCACTTTCGAAAAAGCTTCAGCGAAACGTGTCAAGTGAGGATTTTACTCCACCCACATACTTGTTTTATACAGGTAATTTATTCACCATAGTAAGCTGTATGTTCAGTATTTTTTAATATTAAATAAAGCCTCTTTTACATTCACCAACCTGTGGAGTACTTACCTGTGTCCAGCTCCTGCATCATATCCGGTTCCTGCATATATCCTCAGGTGGGGGTTGTTCCACCTAAAGCTCTTCACACCAGAGCAGGTCCTTGCTCTGGGTTACGTAAGTAGGAAAATCTCCCTCCTATATTACTACATATATATGCATACCATACTATTGGAATTTTCTTGTTTCTTTTTCATATGATGTTCATACCATCTTGAAATCAAGCCTAAAAGACCCTCT